CCCAGGTATTCAAAAGTTGGTCCCACGGTATGACCAATGTCTCAATTCCGGTGGCGAATGTGTTGAAAAATAGCTGGACACTTGCTGTATCTGTTGCAATAAATATTTCCATGAAATTGTGTTTTGTTTCTGTAAACGGCCCCAGGGAAACTTACTTTAAGGACGAGCCTCGTATATTAATTTATCAGCGGATAGGCCTATGCCAGTTATTCGCCATGGGTTCTCTTGAACCAGATTTAACTGAAATAAATAAATTGCTTATTTAGTTATTTTTGTACACCAATGACACCTACACTAGTTTACCTATTCTAAGCTCTACTTAAATTTAAGTTCTAAAACCCACGTGGTGTGACATTATAGCTACTTCTCTTCCGTTATTGGTGATCATTTAACCGCACAGCGACTTAACAGCGGTGGCCATGCTTGCATTAAGTAGCACGCCGTTGAATAACGATGGAAGAGTCATCTAATTACAGAGAGGCTAACGGGTAGGAAAGAAACTATTAGACGGAAGGACTTCACATCGCCTTCATTTAGAGGGAAACATTATTTGGTGATTAGGCTTAGCTAAATAATTTTCTAAAGTGGTGTCAGCCATAATGGCGGCTGAGTGGTTAGCATTCCCGCTTCGTATCTGTGAGATCCCGAATTTAAACTTCGGCCAGAACACCAAACATTCTTACTAGGAGTCTTCATAATTTTCTCCACGCAAATACCGGGATAGTATTTTAATTTATTCCACGACCGCTACTTTCCACATCCTTTCCATCACGTCATTCGATACTACACAGTCCGATCTAGAGTGTCGCAAAATAAACCATAAATATGAATTATCAGCTGAATAGTGTCACTGCCCACTTCGTTGTAGTACGCACCACTAACAATAGTGCTTCAGTTCTTTATTGTACACTTTTTCTTTACAAGTTCCTGTGAATTTAATGTATTGTTTATTACGTTGTAGGAAAACCAACCATGATTGTATTATATCAGTTCGGATTAAATTTGAAATTTTATATTTAGTCAGGATAAAACATTGCAAAGGCTAGATATTAGTGTAAGGTAAAGCTAGTAGAGATTGCGCATAATTCGGGAAAAAATCACCGAAAATATAATGTTTATGTATTTTCGTACATAAGTGTACACACGTGTTCTTTGGTATGATAGGCATATTTAATGAACAATAATCCGATTGTTTTTTTTATTTTTGATAAGATAATGCAGTTTTTTCAGACATTCAATTTTACGCAATCTCTCCTAACCGGGTAGGTGAGATTGCGTACATGGGTAGGAAAGATGGTTTTTGGTTTGAATTACTTATTTCGACCAACCTTTATTAGAAATTGTTATTAGAACATGTATTAGAAACTTTATTATTACAGAAAATGAATAGTAATGATAATAAAAATAGAAATTGTTTTATTACTACAAAAATAATAATAATTGTATCCGACTATTTAAACTCAAAAGCACACATATTATTCTTCGTAATTTTAAGAAAGTTAGTCGGCCTATTGTAAGTCAAGAGAAGAAACACACTTAATCAAACGACAAACGTACTTAATTACTAATATTAATATACTCCGGATACCATTCTAATACAAATTCTTTCTTCTCTTCTGACGGATTTCTTTTCGACCACAATCAATACACTGTTGTTCATACATAGAGCATGAGATGCATTTTATCCAGTCCGATTTTCAAGTCGTAACGGAGTAATGTTCTAAACACTCTGCGCATTCGTCGTGACGTGGTCTGAAAGAAGTTCCATTCCATCGCTGTCTTCGCCAGATGTGGTCGATGGTGTAGGAGAATCATATTTCAACCTTCTACGGCCTGTACTTTCTTTCTTTCTTGTTAATTTAGATTGCCGTGACCTCACAGTCAGTCCTTGTTTCGTCTTATCTTTTGCTGTTTTCTTCTTTTTTAAAGCTGCTACGTTCTTCTTTCTTTTACGTTCTTGAACTTCTTTCTTTTCTTTCTGCGCATTGATGTACTCAGGATCAGTAACGTTTGTCGCACTCTGCTTCCCTTTTGCTTTTGAAGGCTGGAAACTGTGAGGAAAAGATGAAATTTGTTGGAAAACTTTTGTTGGTGTCACCTTAGCTTGCGTAGATGTTGACGGCTGACAATTGGGTAAAATGTCTGAGGGATACAAATTTACCATAGAGGGAACCGTTGATGTGGTCGGTGTGCTTTCAGGAGAGACAGGAATTTGAGCGGATGTGGTTGTTGGAACGGATGGAGAAAACGGAGTTGTGACTGCAGGTGTTGTGCTAGGAGTATGAAATTGTTTAGTGTTTCTTTGTTGGGCATCTACATCACAGGATAACAAAGAGGCGTGTTCGGGAATTGCATCTATGTTTAGAGGATAAATGCCAGTGGCACGAAAGTCATAAGTTGCGAGTTGAACGTTAGCGGCACGAGACCATGCTGAATTTAAAAGTTCGCCGAAATCCTCTCTTGTAATTCTTCCCATTCCTTGTCGAGCAGTGACAAACTTTCCACAAGCATCTTTGAAACAGGTTTTGAAAGGCTTAAATACAACCCGATCCAAAGGCTGTAGATAATGAGTTGTGACTTGGCAAGCAAAGGATGATAACATCATTATCTGCGGCAACTTGCAGCATGTCTGGGCTGTTCATATGAGAACTGGCCACCAAGTATCAGCAAATTTTTACCTGGCGGTTTTCGTGGGATGAAATGTTGAGTGATCCAATCCATAAATAATTTACTGCTGATATAAGCGCTCTCTCTCTCTCTCTCCCCTTACTTTACCGGGTTCGTTATTCAATTGTAGGCAAATCTCATCGCAGTTCCACATGCAGCCTCGTTTCCGCAGAAGATCATTTTCGGTCAAAATAGATGTCATAAGACTGAAATAATTCTTAACTTCCTCACGATTCATGCCTTCTGTTCTTGCTCGACTGATTCCTTGCGATTTCCTGACACTTAAATCACGATTTCTCCGCATTACGATGCCAAGCAAACTTTCCCAGCCATCTTCTGTTCGGTATTGAAAGTATGTTTAATACCCAGTGTTTCTGCTAAAGAGTATGCCATAATTCTTACATCGCGTTGTGTTGGCGCAAACCCAACTGCCTGAAGTTTTTTGATGTGATCGGCTAATTTCTTTTCCGAATCGATACCTATTTGCGAATCTGGACCCAATGCATGCTTTTCAAAAACATTTCTCTTTAGCCTATTTCTCAAGGCTGATTCAGGAATATTGAATTGTCTACTTGCAGCGCGTAGGGTGAAAGAGTCATTTTTATAGCTTCTGTAACTCGTCGCAAATCCTCCTCTGACCAAGACCTTTTATTCGACTTTCTCACATAAACGTTTGGCATTGTGACCTATAAGGAGAAATACCAAAAATAATTAGTAATACTCTGCACTAGAAAAACAACTCTGAAAACAAAGTAGGAATTGCATGTATCATTCTATGCTATTTTATTCCTTAACTTATGTAAAATACAGGTAAACGCAGTAGAAAAGATGAAAACACAAAGAGAATACTTCATTTTTGTTCCATTTTGCAATTAATTGAGTAAACAAGTTTATTTTTTAATCTCTCCTCACATTGAAACAAATGAAAATCCTACGCAAACTCTCCTAACTAGCGCTAACTACACTCACTGGGTAGGAAAGATTGCGCACCCACGTGGTCGGCATGAAAATTTCCACATGACTCGCAACGGAATGAAACACTGGTCTCAACAAAGTACTAACTTAGAAACTATACTTTATTTGCAATTATTTATAGGTGAAACATTTATTTTGCTGCCAATATTATATCTGTGAATAAACTGGGTTCACGTTCGGCTAAAACTTTCAATTGACAGAACTGATTCACTGCATGTTCAAAGAAATTTATAGATATTTTGAAACGCATTCAAAACGCACCTGTTACATTAACATTACCCAAAATATTCCACTGTTTCTGATAAAACGCTGTTTGATAGACCAGCACTAAATTTTGTCAATCAGTCAGCTTTGATTTTGATTTAGTTTGGTGCATTTTAAGGATGACTTTACTAAAGACTGAAATGAGCTGTAACATACGCTTTTTGAAACGTTGAACAGACCTCGACACTTATGGTATACAAACAATACCTTGTATAAGTTTGTTTTATTAAGGGCCAATTTACCTAGAGCAGCGTTTCACAACCTATGGTAAGCGTACCACCGGTGGAACGCGAACCAAGTAAGAAAAACAAAAGATAATACTAACATAAATAAGTTTTCCTTGGTTAGTAGTACATTTAGTGTGTTAAAATAGAATTAGTGGTACGCCAGCGAAAAAGGGGCAAGAACCCCACATTTAGAGGCCAAAATGAATTTTTATTTACATTTTTAAGTTCTTAGACTGTCTGTTATGTGATTATTGAACTTGTGATTTGGAACTCGGAATTTTAGGAGTTTCTGCAAGTCATTTTCATTAAAATGTGCAGGGTGTGTGACATGCATAGAAGATGTGAGAAATGCAAGCAGAAGTTGAATTAGAGAGCATGAAGGAAAGAGACCTTTACAGATGTTTGTGTAGTTGAAAGGATGACATTAAAACGAATCTTAAACATATCTTATGAGAGGGTGTGGACTGGATTACTCTTGATTCATGAGAGGCACCAATTAGGGGGTCTTATGAACATGGTAAGGGGCCTTCAAGATATGTAAAAGGTGGTAAGTTCTTGGCCAACTGTACTATTGTTATCTTCTCAGACTCTGCTCTGTGAAGTTTGGTATGTTTATGCATTGCAGTAACTGACCATTTTTATGTAGTGTTTGTACCAAGCATAAGGGATACTTTGAAAGTCTTCCAATGTTGTAATGTTTCTCTACCTTAAATACTATAGATCGAAAGGCATTATGTTTTTTTTCAGAATATGCATATTGAGGACAGTAAAACGCAGTGAAGGACGATCAGTAAAACTGTGAATTCTTTTCTCACAAAATAATCTACTGAATATCTAAATCCACAGTAAATTTCAGATTTGTATTCTCTGCCTCCGTGGAGATATGTTTTATTTCATTTTAACAGTATCGGAAATTTAGATAACTGTGGACATCATTATGTCATTAATCAAATTATTCTATGCTGTGCGCCCAACCGGTGATTGTGACAGGTTTGAAATAACACCCAGAGACCGGGAGGTGGTACGGCCGTAGGATTACAGAGGTTAATCCAAAATAATATAAAGGCAGTTCGAAATAATCAAAATATATTAAAAATATAAATAAAACAAGAACATGCAGGATAACGACAAACAACGAAACCAACAGCCAAACCAAACTCACTCGGCTCAGGCTGGGATACTGACCAGCAACTTTAGACATATACATAAACAAAACGCAAAATCAGACCTAGCTCTGAACAGGCCGGAAAACTTGTCTTTAGGTTCTCTCCGGTGAAGCATCCTGCGTAACGGACACACACAGACTGCCCGCCGCACTGCCTCATAAGGGCATCGAAGCCTGGGGCTCCAAAGATCGCGGAGATGGGTCACTCCGAGCCATGAGGCACTGCTCAGCTGAAAAACTTAAACAGATTTGTATAGCTATGTAGAATTATTTAAGAAATTATATTCGAATTATTTGCAGGTTAAGTTTTATTCGTATACGTTTTCCACCACAGTATGTTGTTTTAGTAAATTGTAACTGTGAGAAAAAACAAACATAGATTTTATTCTGGAAGTTAGACGTGTAACACTGAGCTTAATTCAGAAAAGAAAACATTTATAATTTAGCGATATTTGTGATGGGCAAGCAATCACTCATTGATGGATGATTTGACATGGAATGAGTCTGTATTGTATTAAACAAATGGAGGAATTTCATTTAACCCATCACATTAACTTCAGTGAATTAAATTCACACATGGCAATTGATTACTTATATACCAGAAGTGCCACAAATCAAAACAGTGAAAAAAATAGGGCAATGTGAGGGAAAACGCAACAGTTAAGGCATTTCGCGGGGATAACTAGAAAATGGGTGAGTAAGAAGTACCAAAAATTGACATATTTTTCAAACCTTTTTGTATTCAAGTAATTAATTACAATTAAAAATGAGATATATAAAGAGGCAAAACAATTCTTCGAATACAACCTTGCACAACTGGCATGTTTCCCCGACTGTATGGGGAAGATGCCTCTGCTTGCAAAGAGAACAGACAGACATTTAACATTTGGTACAATGCAAACTGTCAGAACTACAGTTTTTGCCACAGCTGACACACTGAATTCGGTCACATTTAGGGCCAATTTTGCGTAAAAGTACCCATTACAAACAACACAGAAATGATCATCATCCAGATTGTCGTCGCTGTCGCTTTTAGGTAAGAATTCATCAGCAGAGGAAGTTGACGAATTGAAGCAACGACTTTGCCCGGTTCATTGTTCATTTGCAGGCCGCATTCGTCCATACTGTGGATCTTACTGGGGTTTGCTAGGAAGCCGTTTTCCTGGCAAGTCTGTAAAAGCAGTGTACGTAGTTGTCTACTTCTTGCCGGCACATGCCCAACCCACGTGCGATAGACACACCTTGTGCCTTCCTCATTCCAAGTTCAGGATGACATTTCAAAAAATAACTGCATGGAGTCATAACCAGTAAGCCTTGTGACTCTGTTGAACCGATGAGGAATGCAATTTTTCTCAGCAAAACTGTAAGCTATCTGCCGTAGGAATTTGCTTGTTAGTGGAAAACCAGCTTCCTCTAGACGCTGCATATATTTTACAAGGGTTTTTTCTTGTTCTCTTCTAAGGCAGCCTGAAATCGTTTTAAGTTCAATGTGAAACTGAAATAATATAGGAACTAACCTTTATTAAGTAAACTGAGCAAAGAAATTTATGACGTAAAAATATAAAACGAACCTGCAGGGCCAGGAAACTCTTTCACGATATTTTCAGATTCAATGCGTCTCTTCAGGGTTCTATATGGGATCTTATATGTTTTTGACGCATTCCACAATGTAATTTTCCGTCTTCATGTCGGTCTATAGGAGCCACCTCTTGATGAAAATATGAACTGAAGTTTAAAGTAGCTGATGCAGCCTTGTGCTTCCACCTTCGAGCCTTATATGTAATTACATCAGCAAAACTAGCCAGCGCCGATATATCGCAGCCTTTGCTTTTTAGTGTTAATCATACTATTAATTACAGCATTTATAACTGAAAAATATCTAAAAGTCAAGCTTTTCAATCATACTGGTTTGAAAGGTCCCAAAATTTCAGTGTTTTAAATAAAAGTGTTTATTTTCAACATTGCACTTGCTGCATGATTAAGTGTTCATGTTTCCAGGAAGATGGATCGGCAGAGATGGTCCAATGCCTTGGCCTAAACGTTCACCAGACATAACACCACTGGATTTTTTCCTGTGGGGTTATGTCAAGAGCAATGTGTTCTGAACACCAGTTAACAGACTTGATGACCTGAAGCCCCGTATCAGGAATGCGATCTCGGCTATTCCAGCGGACATGCTCCACAGAACTGTAATCTTCCGCAAATCGCACATGGTTAGCTCAATTTGTTTGCGCACCACAATTTTTCAAAACCCCGAAGGGACTTTGTGGACACACTGTATTTTGTAATAGTGTGTCATCCTCTGTGATGAAAAATATTGTTACCTGATAACATCAGAAAACATCTTGTTAATGCAATCAGTATTTGTTGGTAACTATTGTTGTGAGCACTTTCAACTTAATGAAACTGTTGACAGAATATAAAATTAACAGTATTTCTAACTTATAGTCGTGTTAATATATAACATCATTTTAAGAACTGCTTATGATAATAAATGTCGGTCAGGTACTATAATGTATTTTACTCACCAGTGTCAGATCTACTCAGGCAGCTGATGAATGGTGAAAACCTGTAAAACACATATATATTATTCAAATCAGATCAGTGTTCAAAATTACAAAGTGTAGTGGTACAGCTTCAGGTAACACACAACACACAAATAAGAAGCACGTTTCTAGACTCAAGCAAGTTATCAGTTTTGTTTTAGCCTACTTTCCTTATTACAGGGAAACACAGACATGGTATCACAATACAGTGTCTGTCTATCCATGTGGTTATTCTCCTTAATTACTTTCAAATCTATTGACCAACTTTCACAAAACTTCTTATAAACATCATGTCACAAGCAGCCATGCGATCTTCACACTTTTTAATTTTTCATGTCATCCACAATGTCTAAATGGCAACAGTGCCAAACTCTTAGATGCAGGTGGCACCAGTGCCAAATAGTATGAAATAATAAAATTTTGTTCTCAAAGATCTTCAAAACGCAAGCAAATGCTACTGAGGTCATGTTGTAGAATATATCTTAACATGCCACGTCTGATGGCAGTAACTAATGAACCACTTCATCTATGCACATGTAATTTGGTATGGAGACAGACCACGCAAGAAACATTGTTTATGTGGAACATTATAAATATAGATATGGAGTGACATTTTGGAGCTACAGTTACAAATTTCATATACACTAATTTTGTACTACCAGACAATATGCACAGAAAGAATTTTGTAAGGTATATAATTATTAATTCTAATTACTGCTGCTTCTTCTTCTTCTTCTAAGGCGCAACAACCCGAAGCCGAACCTCGGCCTCCTCCCAATTGGGAGGTTTCTTTGTCGTTGAAGTGGGCATTTATGAGTATTGAGTTACAAGCCCACCACCGCTGCACACTTTCTATTTAATCCTGATTTGACTACTAGAGCCTTCTAGTAATGAATCAGGAGTGACTTTGGTGAGAAATGGCCACTGAATTTTGCTTATGAAACATCTTCTTTCACGCTCGTAAGTTTCTTTTACGTGCCCTAAATCTATGACACGGGAGTCTCGGAAATATTTAAAGGAATCCAGACATCAAGTTCTTGTTTCTATCAATGAACAGCACTCTACAACCAAACTTTACTGAACATCTTTAAACATAAATATTAAAACAACAATTTTCCAAAAGTTTGCATCAGTTTTAACCATTTCTCAACCTTCAACTGTGTTGAGTTAATCAACATCACTAAGTAGACTAATTATGCTCTGTATTTTACATGACACAAATTACATACAAATAATGTTAAGAAACAGTAGCCAGATGACATTTGGAGCGAACAAAACAGAATATTCTGTTGTGGTTAAGGCTGTCTGTCACATGTCAACACTTCCACCATACTGAAACATTGCAGATATTTTATTTTGTAACTGCAGAAACCCAGTTGCTTTCTTCACAAGCTATTAACAACTATGAATTCTCTGGACGAATTCTGGAGCACTGAATGAGTATTTATTAAGACTGTAAATGTAAGGATGTGAAGAATCATTCACTTACTTACAAGTAAAGGTAAAGCTGTCTCTTTCTATAAAAGTTTTGAATGAGATATTCTGAACATGAACATCCAGCAACTCACATTTTATACTAACCTTATTTTCACAAAAACAGAAATAAAAGAATCTACATTCGACCATACCTTAATTATTGTACATTTAATTTATAAAATCCTGCAATAATGCCACTGACCTGTCAGTATATTCATTTCTTACTTAACTGATTCTTAGGTAAGTTATTGAAAGTGTTTCACCAGCAGAAGTTATATGGCATCGAACAAGATAAAAATATGACGACTGGTAATTATGTAAGTATTTGGAAGTTGGTCACAGACTATTTCGAGATACGCCACCATTCAAATGGAATGAATGTGGAAAGTCACATAAATTCTCAGTCAGAGAAGCCAGTAATGCAGACATGATATAAACTAGGCACCTCTTACATAAAAAGTCTTAAATGCGATGACATCTTCCACCTGCTTAAAAATTCTTTTATTTATGATGCCCTTTTAGTAGAATTCAAATTGCACCACTTCACTGAGATGTGCAATTACATATAGATTCTTCTTCTTCTTCATTAAGCAACTTCTACACTTGTGGGTCAGCTTTTGAACAGGGATTTCCAGCTGCTTCTATCTGCGTATTATGTATGTACATGATTATTTCTCACTCTTGCTCTTCTTCTTCTTCTTCCTTGGATCTACAACCCAGTTGTGGGTCTTCACCACCTCCTTTTCAGAGGTATTTCTCACACTATCCAGTAGAATTTTACTCACCCAATATGCCCCCTAATGCCAGTTGCATAAAGAGTACTGCAGTTTGTCTGACTGCAAATATATTTTCTTTCCATCCATCATGGCTATGAAAACTCTACCGACTACAAGAAAACTCAATATTAAAATAAAACAAATCAAGCAATGCCAATATTAAGCTGGCAAAGGTGTAGGGCCTACACTTGAGACATATCAAACTGAGTAAAACTTTACACCATCAATGATGTGAACACCTCCTAAAATTAAAATGTATGTTCACAATCAATGCCACGTGCCATACAACCTGTTCATGATCAAAGGAAAAGCTAGAACTTTATATCAGAATTTGAAGAATATTTACTTGTATTCTAGGAAAATCATGAATAAGTTGAAATTTTAAAGAAACATGTAAACCTACATAATATTAATGTGAACTGGAAGGCAACAAATGTAGATTTTGATTGTGAGAGGCCTGTCATGAACACAACAAATATATGAAGGTTGTGGTTATGTTCCCAAACAACACTTGAAATATACACGAAATAAAACATTGTGGAATCACCTCATGAACTATTAAATTCAAGTAAGAAGTATCACATTCATCCACAACAAGTAAATCTAAAGTAATGTGACCTCACCCAATACAGTGTCCACTACGCATTGTGACAAAAACGCAAAGACAGAAGAAAACCTAGCAGTTTATAGAACAGCAAACCATCCTTACACATCTAATGAGCAAAGGGAAAACTTGGTCTCTGACACGACAATTAATTATTTACTGACATACAAATATATACATAGAGAGATAAAGTGTGTGTGTGTGTGTGTGTATTCTGGATGGTGACTGCAAAATTTACCTGGCTCACTGTCCAGCATCTATTACTGATGTGTAAGACACCAAAGCGTAGCCTAATAGAATATCTCAAGAAAACACAATTGCATAATTTAAGGTTATGATACGACGCAGCATACTCTCTACATCTATATTAACAATGAAACCAAAAAATTAACTTACGTTGAGATAGATCAGGACCTCATAATGTGTGTTTCACAGACGTATCTTCAAAACACACAAACGTTCGTGCCTATTAAACATTAATATCAAACCCACGTGTAAAACACACAAACCGTGATCAAGGGCAAGGTTCCCACATCGTGCGATTTATTGAAATGAATTAAATTGTTTTATTGATAAGTACTAAAAAAATTATAAACCGAACATGAACCGCAAGAACCAGTTTCTTTGACCACTTATTTTCAAATATGCATATCCTATCTATTTTACTAATTTGTTGCCGATTCTTGTATTTCGAAAACCAGAATCCTTACTATGATTAGATCAGGTTATGATACAAACCGTGATTGCAGCACAATTCACTAGCCGTGTCCTGACATCTAGTGTGGAAGATTGAAATTCAAAGTATGCCGTCGGGGAGTAAACATTTATTATACATTGATATGTGTGAGCCTGCGGTCACACTGCAAGCGTATTCGCGCGAGTACGGGCGAACTATCAAACACGTTACACGGTATGTAACTGGTCACACTGCAAGCGAAGTTATCGCTCGTCGTTCAAACATGTTTGTTTCCATTCGCGCGAAGAGATGGATACTGAAAAATTAATTCATCTTGTGTTCAATGAGAAGGCTTTGTGGGACCAAAAAATGAAAACTTATCACAACAGAGAGGTTTCAAGGAATTTGTGGCTAAATATTGCAATATAAGTTTATTACAAACTCTTCCTTGCCACACATCAGTTTGAGGAAGATTTGCATTTTGTGGCAATTTCAATGATCCATTTCCGAGGGATATGTAAAAACTTGATGCAGCGAAGGTTCCTACGTCACTCTGTTTTCCGTGCCAGCCTATATCAACACACACAAATTTATAGTTTGCGTTACACACAGCTTGAAAAACAATGGAAAAGATTGTTTGTAATTATAAAACTGCGTCCCCGATTTTTTTGGACATTTCAAACGAATATGTTTCCTATCAATGTAGCCCACAGAATTAGGAAATTTTCATATATCAAAGAATTCAGCAGCGTTCTGATGGTGATATACAGTTTCGAAAATTACTCTGTTTTTTATTGCTTCCTCAGTAGCATTTAATATGTACTGGTATGTATTCAACGACATTCTGTAATAGTCATGAAAGCAATTTATCAAAACTTGTGTGAAATTCACTTTCACTTCTGTCTTGGTAAATATCATTCATCCAACATCGTCATGCGTTTCTTCCAGTTACTAAAAACCTAAGCAAACGGTTCTATTCTTCAAGCTCCATTTTCATACTGAAGGCTCGCGCCACAAACGTTCGCGCGATGTCGCTTGCAGTAGTACGACTATAAGTTCGCCGGAACTCGCTCGATAACGCCAAACAATTAATTCGCGGCAATACACCTGCAGTGTGACCGCAGCCTGATATATCCTTTAGTTGCGAAGATTCATTAAGTTCTAGTGCTCACTCAGAGATGGCAACATCAATATCACCCCCGTAGAATATTGCATTGCAATTGATGTCAATTATTATTATTATTGTTTATTAAGATTGAAATTCAAAGTATGTTTTAACCAAATGTAGTGTTGAAAACGATAACTCACTCTCACTTTTGAGAGTCTGAGAGAAATAATTTTCAAAAATCTATTGACATCAATTGCAATGCAATAGTCTACGGGGAGAAATTGATGTTGCCATCTCTGAGTGTGCACTAGAACTTAATGTATCTTCGCAACTATAGGATATATTACACGTATCAATGTAAATGTTTACTCCATGACGGCATACTTTGAATTTCAATCTTCCACACTAGATGTCAGGACACGGCTAGTGAATTGTGCTGCAATCACGGTTTGTATCATAACCTGATCTAATCATAGTAAGGATTCTGGTTTTCGAAATACAAGAATCGGCAACAAATTAGTAAAATAGATAGGATATGCATATTTGAAAATAAGCGGTCAAAGAAACTGGATCTTGCGGTTTATGTTCGGTTTATAATTTTTTTAGTACTTATAAATAAAACAATTTAATTCGTTTCAATAAATCGCACGAAGCGGGAACCTTGCCCTTGATCACGGTTTGTGTTTTACACGTGGGTTTGATATTAATGTTTAATAGGCACGAACGTTTGTGTGTTTTGAAGATACGTCTGTGAAACACACATTATGAGGTCCTGATCTATCTCAACGTAAGTTAATTTTTTGGTTTCATTGTTAATATAGATGTAGAGAGTATGCTGCGTCGTATCATAACCTTAAATTATGCAATTGTGTTTTCTTGAGATATTCTATTAGGCTACGCTTTGGTGTCTTACACATCAGTAATAGATGCTGGACAGTGAGCCAGGTAAATTTTGCAGTCACCATCCAGAATACACACACACACACACACACTTTATCTCTCTATGTATATATTTGTATGTCAGTAAATAATTAATTGTCGTGTCAGAGACCAAGTTTTCCCTTTGCTCATTAGATGTGTAAGGATGGTTTGCTGTTCTATAAACTGCTAGGTTTTCTTCTGTCTTTGCGTTTTTGTCACAATGCGTAGTGGACACTGTATTGGGTGAGGTCACATTACTTTAGATTTACTTGTTGTGGATGAATGTGATACTTCTTACTTGAATTTAATAGTTCATGAGGTGATTCCACAATGTTTTATTTCGTGTATATTTCAAGTGTTGTTTGGGAACATAACCACAACCTTCATATATTTGTTGTGTTCATGACAGGCCTCTCACAATCAAAATCTACATTTGTTGCCTTCCAGTTCACATTAATATTATGTAGGTTTACATGTTTCTTTAAAATTTCAACTTATTCATGATTTTCCTAGAATACAAGTAAATATTCTTCAAATTCTGATATAAAGTTCTAGCTTTTCCTTTGATCATGAACAGGTTGTATGGCACGTGGCATTGATTGTGAACATACATTTTAATTTTAGGAGGTGTTCACATCATTGATGGTGTAAAGTTTTACTCAGTTTGATATGTCTCAAGTGTAGGCCCTACACCTTTGCCAGCTTAATATTGGCATTGCTTGATTTGTTTTATTTTAATATTGAGTTTTCTTGTAGTCGGTAGAGTTTTCATAGCCATGATGGATGGAAAGAAAATATATTTGCAGTCAGACAAACTGCAGTACTCTTTATGCAACTGGCATTAGGGGGCATATTGGGTGAGTAAAATTCTACTGGATAGTGTGAGAAATACCTCTGAAAAGGAGGTGGTGAAGACCCACAACTGGGTTGTAGATCCAAGGAAGAAGAAGAAGAAGAGCAAGAGTGAGAAATAATCATGTACATACATAATACGCAGATAGAAGCAGCTGGAAATCCCTGTTCAAAAGCTGACCCACAAGTGTAGAAGTTGCTTAATGAAGAAGAAGAAGAATCTATATG